TTTTAGTATTTCGAGCGGGGGGTTGCCAGTGATCCTGGCTTTGAGAGGAGCTGCAGTTCAAGTCCTCTTAAATGCCTGCCTGCTAGCCCCTTCCCTTAATCCATCCCTTCGTGCCAGGTCAATATTGACCACAACCGTGCTTTTTTCCTCCAGAAAAGGTGAGGGGACGCATTGTTTTTTGGGGATACTGTGCTGGGGGAACGTGGAGCTGGCTGACCGTTTTTTGGAGGGGTGCCTGGTGCCATCCAGGCTTCTGGCAGCACAACTCGCCGCAGCCTTTAAACTCTGTCCCGGGCACATCCTCACCCACCCAACTGTTTGTGCTCTTCTAACGAGCGCTGGCTTCTGGTCCCCGCAGAGCAACACGGAGCCTTCGTAAGGAGCCCCAGCCCGGCGTTTGCTCCAGCACGGTGCTGGGGCGGGAGGTGATGCGGCCAGGTGGTGTTTGGCTTTTTTTTTTTAATTATTATTTAGAAAAAAAAAGTAGTTTGAAACGAGGAGGGCTTTGGAGAAGTGCGGGCGTGAGCAGGACCTCCCTTCCACACCCTCGGCAGCGGGGCTGGTGCGAGGCGCCGCTCCCCTGAGAGCGGGGCTGCGTGGGGGCTTGGCACGTCCCGTGGGACACCGGCATCCTCGGGGATTGCTGCTGCTGTCCTCGAGCACCCCTCTGGGACACTTTGGGAGCAACGTGACCGGCCGAGGTCTCAAGAGATGAAACCGAAGGGTGCCAAGGGAGGGTGTGGGAGATGTAGCAATGCGGGGCGGCTCGCCATCGCTCACGCCTTCGTTGGTTCTTGGTGGGTTACAAATGAGCCCTGCTGGCATGGGGATTCACAGCCGGCGCCGTGCTGGCAGAGGTTCACTTGGGAGCGTCAAGCCCTTGAATGTTGTTTCAAATAACAAAATACCAGCCTGTTGTTTTACATGCAAATGGGCGCTCTCTGATAACTAAGTGCTTTCTAAGGAAGCTCTCTTCCAATCCGATCCTATTTCATGTTTTTAACATAAATCTGTTTATCTGCCTCAGAAAAGCCGGGCACTTGCTGCTTTGTTGCTGTACAGCCTTTGTCTCCGTCCCCAGAGGTGTCGGGCTCTGTGCAGAAGCCGCGAAGCCGAGCAAGTGGCTGATGCACAGAGCTCGCCACGAGCTCGCAGGGGGCATGGGGGGGGCCACAGGGACACTCTGTGTCCCTCCCTGCGTGCGGGGCAGCCGCTGACATGGACTGAGGACGTGCAGCGTCTCTCCTTGCTCCCCACTCCTCTCTTCTTTCTCTTACCGCTTTCTGGTCTCTGATCTGTTATCACTGTCTCTCTTTTAATAAGTGTGAAATGGCAGCCTTTGGGCACCATCAAAGCATGGCTTGTTATTGTCTCCGTGTTAGCTCCTGGACAAGTTAGGACCATTTTTAATTTTTTTTTTTTTAATAAGGTAGTAAAATTTATTCTATTTCTCTTTCCTGTTGAGGTGCTTTCCGCCGTTAGTTGATGCGTTACGGTCTTTGTTTCCTGCGGCTTTGTGGAGCCTGTTCCAGGGCGTTTGCTGGATTAAAGCCAGTAAGACATTGCATGGGAAGAGCAGCATCACCGACCTTCCCAGACAAGCAGCACCTCCAGATTTGGTACCAAGTGATCTACCCAAAGCCAGACCATCAGCTTTTGTCATCACTATTTCTTTATTAATTTATTCTCCTTCATTGGTCAGGTGGAGAGGAGCAGATTAGTTCTTAAAGGTGTCACTCGCTCTTCATTTCTTTTTAAAATGGGCTTTGGTTCAATTAGCAACTTTTGCAAGAGGCTGGCTGGGCAGCAGGATGCAAGCCGAAATCCTTGCCTCATCTAAAAGCAAGCAGCTGCCGCCTCCTCCCTGTTGCACCCCTTTGCCCTGCAATACCAGGGCGATACCATCGATACTGGGGTGGTGGCCGCATCGCCCAGATGCTAGCAGGAGAGGGGCACGTTTCCATACAGATAAATTCGGGATTGCTGCAGCTTTTGGGTAACAAAAGCAGGATCTGCCCGTTTAGGCGGGTGCTGCATGGAGTGGGGTGGTTCTCTGCTCTCTGCAAAGGTACCTGTTTTCCTCGTCTGCTTTTACACACGGGGCCGTGACAATCTAATGACCTTTCCGTTGTAGCTCCGCAAGCAGAGACGAGTGTGGTGGGGACTCCCGCTTCCCAGAATAGTTTTCCTCCAAGATCTTCCTGTCCAAGTCTCTCATTGCATCTCGCTTTTTGAAATAATCAGCCCCCGTGGTTATTTCAGTTAACACTAATTACTGGCATGAACTAATTAATGTGGGTTGACTTTCCTCTTCTCTTTCTAATGCTTTTTTAACCCACTGACACATTCCAATTAAGGGACTCATGCAGGGACTGGACTGAAATGACTCAGAGCAATCACAGTTGGAATAAATCGTTTGCTTTGCTGAAGGTCACTAATATTTTTTCAAATTGCCAGCGTTGGGTATTTGTGCCTGCCAACAAGGAGATGACCTGACCTTACAATAAGCATCTGAAATATCTTCAAGTGTGCCTCCATTTTGGCGCAAGCAGATTTGCGGGTACCACGTCGATAAGTGTTTGATGTGCTGAGAACGGTGGCACAGAAAACAGCCGTGGGAGGCTTCTCATCAGGACTGCAGACCTTGAGGCAAGTGGTCTTGACCTCGCAAGGACCTTGCTCGTTTGTATCTGTAGCTGTGCAATGGTGGTAGAGGGCATACACTGAATGTTACCTCCCTGCTTGTGCTCGTACAAGTGATTTCTTTTCCCCTTGGTTGGGTTATTGTAACTTGTGGAGTCCTGTGGGTTCTGGCCGTGCCCTGGGCTCGCTTCCCTGCCTCTGCTGACAAGGCCCAGGTGAGAGGCGGCTGTCTTTGGGCTGGGGGGAAGCCACAAATCTGGTGGTGATAAAGCCTGCAAAGCTGCCGTCGCAGTGTTTGTAGCCCGTTTAACAAAATGCTGGTAGGAGCCATGTGGAAGGAGAGCCTTCTGCTCCGTGAAACCTGGTGTTCCCAAAGTCCGAGGTGAGAGCAGTGGCAAGTGGGAGGCAGCCAGCAGCTGGAGCAGGGCTGGAGAGCCCCGTGCAACGCTTGCAAATCCTTCCTGTGCACTTAAAGTTGAGGCTTTACTTCTGCAGCTTCAGATTCCCATCCTTGCTTCTCCTCAGGTTGGCGTTTTCCAGAAGGTGATGCTACTTGCTTCCCAGAGGTGAAAACCCATTTAGCTTTTGCAGGGCCAGACTCTCTCCTGGATATAGGGAGACTACGCTGCAGAAGTGCCAGCAGCAGGGCGAGCCCGTGAGTTTCCATTCTCGGTCTCTTCCTGCCTTATCCAAGTCAGGTCGTGATGCTGAAGTTCCCCCCTCTTTCCTCACTGTGTCACGTCATCCAGGTTTTGCTGGAAAACGCTTGTATTTCTACCTGCTCTTCCAGCTACTGCTCGTGATTTTAAGGCGCAGAGCTGCTGGTGTCTCCCGGGGGCAGGTGCGATGGGGTGGTGTGGGTCTCCCTTCTCCCAGGGGGATTTAAACGCGAGCACCTCATCGGTGCATCTTATAATTGCTGGGTTAATGGAGGTGAAAGCACCTTGATTAAACTGCAGTAGAGAGCAGGTAGCAAATATGTGATTAGTATTAATAGCGCTGGTCAGACTATATTATGCAAATGATGGGAGAATAGATGATTTAGTTATTCATCTTTAACCTTTATTTTTGTTTAATGTGACCTTACTCGTCAAGTCTCTCATTACCATCTCTGGCTGTTCAGCGTATGTTCGTTTATTCTGCTGCCATCGACCCATCAGCTAAACCCGTGTTCCCGCCCGGTGACGCCGAGTGCAGCCTGGACACCCCTCCTTGCGGGTGCTCCCGGGGGCTGGTTCCCAGCCCTGCAAGGAGTTGGGAACTCGGGGTCCCGTTCCCCATGTTTTGGGTAGAGCTGGTTCCACCAGGTCATACAGCCCCTGCCGTGGGACACGTTCCCTTCTCTCAGCTGTCCGGTTACGGCTCTAACCCCATGTTTCCTATCGGTTTTGTAGCCGTCTCCGGGTGGGTTTGAGCAGCCTGTGGACATCCAGAGACGCAGACATTCCTGCTGCGTGTCCAGCACCATGGGGGAAAGGCAGAAATGGTGTCTGCCAGGTTTTTGGGTGTTTTTTTTTTTTTTTGGCCGATGCAGATAAAGACTCTGGCACATCCTTGAGTCGCAGCTGGTTCTCACGGGCTGTGTTCAGGTTGGCAGGAATCGCTCATGGGAGCAGCGTGGCCCCTCTTGCCGCGGGGCGTCTGCTTGGATTCCCTGCAGACTTTACGCATAGCTAGACAGTATTGGTTTTGGCCGTCCCTCTCTGCTTTCTGGAGGTTACAAATGGTGTAGGAATATATTCCAAATGAGTTTGAAGTTTCATTGGGCCATCTGGACAAGTCCCACTGAACTAACACTGGACGGTTGTGAACATAGTGTCTCATTTGATGCTCAAATGGGTTCAATTTTGAACAAACTATTTCCCTTGCAAGCTCAATCCACGTTGAAGAAATGGTACCCTACTGCAAACCAAACTTCTGCAGAGGTCAGCCCAGCAGCTCGACCCTCTGTGAGCGGCTTGGCAGTGCTGACAGCAGTGAATGTCCCTCCTTGTCCGCTGGTCTCCTCCAGGTTGTCTTTGGAGGGAGTTGCGTTTGTGGGATTGCATTTTTTTGCTGTTAATGCACCTGAATTTTTCTTTCCCTATTTAGCCCCGTGCTTCTTGGCCCACAGTTCCTCCTAACCCTGTTCTAGACGTTTCTGCTGGAAATGCACATTTAAATCTAAACAACTATACAGTGTGTAGACAGAAGGGGGAACCCAAAAGACATGTGTCCCCATAGCCATGAGAAGCTGCTGTGACACCTGCCCCAATTGGCTTTCCCGACAGATGCCAGAGCAGTCCCTGGGGATGGGGCTGGGAGAAGGCTGATGGGGAGATGTGGGAAAAGCCTTAAATTTCTCTGTTGCCTTGCAGGGTTTCAGCGGGCCTCCCCACGCAGCGTTTGCCTTGAGCTGTGACCAACGAGCGGTGAAAGAAAAATATGAGCGTGAACCTGCCCATCACCTGGACTACGAGAGCGAGTTGTCCATCCGGATAGGTAGAGCTGGGCTCCATCCAGGCAAGCATCCTGTCATATACCAACTGCAGAGTGTACGGGGAAAATACCCCTGTTAAACTGGCACCTAGACTGTCACGTATGTGATTGAAATTAGATTGGTTTTGACATGTGCATGCAAAGTGCACCTTCTCTTCCCTCTCTGGATCTGTCTCTCTGCTGGCTCTTATTCCAAGAATCATTACTTCTGTTTCTACTTTTGTTCTCAAAACCACTTGCACGTCTGTCTGTGCCTATGAATTATTGATAGTTAGATATCTCATTCACCAGGGAAATGAAATCATCAGCTTAGCTTGAGATAAGTTTATTTTCAGCGTGGGCGCAGCGAGCGCTAACCCTGCCCTTGCCAAGTTATGCCACGTTGAAGGTGCCCCGCGACACTGACCCTCGGTGGCCCTCCCTAATTATAGACTAGGACTGGCAGTCATGCTGTCACTCCTTATTTTGGAGGTTAATAGAATTGTAGCTGCCAAAGTGTGGAATAAAATGTCTTGTTGGCAGTTATTTCCTCCTTAAATAGATTTTAAAGAAGGAACTTCTTAGTCAGGGTGGTGGAACCTCGGCAGGCTTCCCCAGGTCCAGGGTGTTTATATGGGACGGGTGGTGGCCACCCTTACACCCGGCTGCACGGGGATACGTCCTCTGAGTCAGCGCAATTTTCTATTCCTCTACTTAATAGCAGCTTTTCAGTAGACAAAGAAAATGTAATTTAGTGAATTAATCTTATTGCTCCTCTGCTTTTTCTTGGTTTGAGAGAAACTGAAATAGCGGTTTACAGTATCTTGAATACAACTGGGAGCAGACTGAGATGAAGAAATGATCCTTCTTCTTGCAAAGAATAGTGCTAGCCTCTTAAATCAGGCTCCGTTATTTAACTGCATTGCTTAATTGCATGTTTCATGAAGTGTTTCAAATCCACAGGATTTTTTAGGACTTGAAATACCTGCTTGGATTTTTCCAAAGGGATGGAAGGAAGTTTTGTGCTAGACTCAATGGGCTTTGGGTCCTGGATGTCTTTTAGCTCCTGGGGCAAGCGCAAGCTTGAAGACTGCTCTAGCCCTGCAGGCTGTAAGGTTGTTGCAAGGTTTTCGATATTTTTGTAAGGTGGAAACTTTACATCCCAGGTGCAGTTTAATTTTATTCTTCAAGAAAAAAAAGTAAGCAGCCCTGCAATTTTCAGAAGCTTAAACTGCTGGGGGCTTTGTTTTCATCTTCTCTTAGTTGCAAACAATAACAGTGCAAATTGTTTTGAGAATAGAAAATTTCCATTAGACTTCATTGTTTTTACTCTCTCTGGGGAAATGGTATTAAGAATCTACAATACATTAATGCTTTTATTGTCTCTTGCTATTTTTTTTTTTTGCTTGCTGAAATGAACTTGGTATTTTCACCAGATACCTCAAGCCGTCCAAGAAAGCAGCTTTCCCCAGCTCTGGGTACTGCTTGGCTGCGCTCTGGGGAACGCTCTGGGAACATAACGGGTATTTTCAAAGTCTAATGGGTACTAAGTGGAATATTTCAGACTTAATCACTGTTGAATCATTGACCCTTCCTTCATATTTACACGTTTTAAAATCGCTAAAACTGTGAAAACAAACAAACAAACAAAAATCCCAAAGCACACCGCTGCCTTGTTTTGCAGTTGTCTTTACTGCCTAGGGAGTAAAGCAGGTGAGGAGCAGGGGAGCTGGTATGGAGATGGCTGGAGAACGTGTAAACATGCAGCTCTCCAGGGCCCTGCATATCTGAGGTCTTTGCTGTTAGAGATGTAAACGCGTATTTAACGTGGCTGCACGAGAGGCTGGGAGCAGAAGCGACTGTGTGGTTCCACTTGGGTGGTGGGGTCCTTGTAGCTGCACTAAGCAAGCCAGAAGATTTCTTTTAGACCTGTAGAAAGGGAGATGGAGGAAATGCAATAGTTAGACCTGTCCCTCATCTACTCTGTTGGGAGAAAAAATTCTTATCCTGCTTTTTCCCCCCAGTCAGCAGCGTGTTTGGGTGGCTCTGTTCTTCCCCGTCATCCCAAATCCCTTGGTTTCCCATCACTCGCAAGTTGTTTGTAGGGAGTGAGGAAGCATGGCACCATCCGGACGGGGCTGGGAGCCCCCCTCTCTCCCTGCGTGGCTGGGGCTCTGCTCCCCTTGTCCTCCGGCTCCTCTCCAGCAGGCTGGTGCCGTGCGATCGCAGGCATTGACGCTGAATCGAAAGGAGATTTTTACAGGAGTTGCTAACAGCTGGCTGCCTCGTGGATGCGTGAAGTAAGGCACACGTATCCATGTGAAATGGAGTATGGGCGGATTTGGTATGAATTGCAGTGAAAAGACTGTGTCTAGACTCGGTCTTTGACGAGTGGGATAATCACTAGGCTTTAATTACTACAAACGAAAGAGAATCCAGCCTTGTCTTTAATACACCTGGGTAGGCAAGGGACGTAATCTGTATTTCTCTGCCTCCCTTGGAACAGATTAGGATAAAGCTGAGGAAGGTTTGTTCGTTCCTCTGGGTGCAGGTGAAGCCCCCTCCCATGGAAGGACCTGGTGGGCTATGCCCTCCCTGCCGCGGGGGCTACAGGCTGCCCTGGTCCCTAAACCTCCCCCTGCCACCCCAGGGCTCGGGGCAGCTCAGCCTGCTTGAGTTTGCAGACATTAAAATCGGGGGAAATAGTTTCGGCAGGGTCACCGCAGGCTGCGGGACTGGAAGGCCGGGTTTGACCCCTTAAATCGTAGCTACGTGCGCAGTGTTCTTGGGTAGTTCTCAGAAAGGATTTACATACAGCATCGCACCTTGAAACCCGAGCTGTGACTCATGCTCCTCTAAACTGTATATTTAACAGCGAGGCATGTTGATTCTTTATCATATCCTGGTGCCGAATGATTCACGTCGCTCCAAATCAGATTACAGAGCGGAGTGGGAGGGCAACGATGTTCCCCATCAGCCCCCTCCGCTCTCGCTTTAACGTCCTTGCTACCCTATTGCAGGTAGGAGATCTTGTGTCCAAGGAGATCCTTTCTAGGTGTGCTGGGGCAGAGAAGTTTACAGCAACGTGACTGTAAAGTACCCGGAGTAAAATACCAAATATCATTTTGGTGCTCAGCTGGGAGCATCCTCAGTGGTTGGCACAGCTCCAGCCCTGGGGAGTTAAGAGTAGTTGTCTCTGAGCTGGCTGCTGACCCAAGCCACAAATAAATGTCTACCGAAGTACCTGGCTAACCAGCAGCATCTCTGCCCGCTCATCATCCGTCCCAGACGCACGGATGTCTGTGCCGAGGGGATATGATGCGCTTCTGGCATCGCGCTGCCGGTGCTGTTAAGTCGCTGATGTTATTAAGGGGAATCAGGGTTTGTTTTAATGACTCAACTGACTTTTGGTGGGGCGTGATTTAGGAAATGGTACTGTGGCGTTCCTGCATAAGTGTTCAGTAAGTAAATCCAGATGGGTTTAGTAATTGGAAAAAGATACTGGTGTTTGAAATAGTGTACTTAAGAAATGAAGTTTCATTAAACTTGTTACTTAAATGAGCCATGAGGTCTGGGGGCATCGTAGAGAAACCTTATTACGTAGAATTTGAATTTTTTTTTTTTCTTTAAATTTGAGCTGCTGCATCAAACCAGCTGCAGTGTCGCAGAGGCTTAGGCGGTGTTTCAGCTGGGGGTGCCCTGGAGCAGGGGAGGCGGGTGGGCTGGGGGCACCACCAGCACCAGACCTGGCGTGGGTCCATCCTGCTGCGCTGCCCCAAGACCCGCTGCACCCGTTTTGGCAGCATCACCCAGCCTCTGCTCTAATTTTCTACCTCCTTCCTGAGGCTGTCATTTTTTTTTCCATTTTTGCTTTATTTTTCTCCTTCAAAGGAAGTTATTGTGTGCCAGGGCTGCTGGAGTGGACTGCACACCAGAGGAAGCAGACCCTGCTCACGTAGCATCTCTTTCATCAGTGCCCAGGCAGTTCAAGTCCTGTAATGATGTAGTCAACTTCTGCTGAAAGGGAGGAAGGGAGCTGGGGAGATAAAGGAGGAGGCGAAACCCCTTGGGGACCAATACAAAGAGAGGGTGTGAGCTGTGTTGTGGGATTGGTACTGATGCTTCGGGCAGCGTATGGGTATGGTTTGCCTCTGTCTCTGGTTGTGTCCTTGCAGGCAGAAAATTCACTTTTTTGCTCTGTTCCTGCTGGTGTACCGGCTGGTTTCGGAAAGTCCAGCCTTGTCCCAACTTTTCAGGCTGCCCTGATCTGCGGTTGTCCCCTGGTGCCAAGGGGAAAACTCCTCCATAGAAATAGCCAGCTCCCATCACAAAAGCACAAGTGATTTGCTGACGCTTACCTTGTAAATTTTCTCCTCGTTCCCTCCTTCCCTGAGCAGATGCAGAGGCCGTGAAGGAGGGATGATATATAAAGCCTCTCTAGCCGTGAAACCCATCATGATTCATTGGGGTAATATTCAGCCGGAGCCTCGCATGTGCATCTGAAAGGTTCATTAAGTCATTGCAACTTATATAACGCGAAGGTCCTTCTGCAAGGGATGTTCACCTGTTTTAGACAGTTCCAACTGTATTTGTAAAAACGTTGACATGTTCACGCTGTGCTTGGTCTGGAAAACTGCTGCTTTCAAAAGGCATCAATTCATTTTGAGTTTTAACAGCCAGCCTCGATGATGAACGTCTCTGGCAATGTCTGTATTGATAAAAACATCCTAATGCCCCTTTCTGGAGTGTTTCAAATGGTTATTGACCATCCCTGTCAGGCTGGGTTCTATGGTTGGTTTTTATAGTCATGACTAAATGTGAATTTATATACGCAGCACTTAAAAAAAAAAATAAATAAAATCAGAGCACATAATCCCTCATGAACTGATGAAATGCCTTCTTCACACGTAGGTCTGTTCCCCCGTTATTCTGGTCGCAGCCTTGCTCCTTGGATTAGGAATTTTGACTTTACGGGGCTAAATGCAACCTGGTGGTTTGTTCTCCTTTGCTCTTGGTCAGCATTG